GTGTGTGTGTGTGTGTGTTAGAAGGGGGATGGACATCGATGCCAAAATGAAATGCTATTTTTAAAGTGCCAGTAAGACGTCAAAACTCTGCTGCCTGCAGCACAGACAGGAAGTCAACTCCTGAACTTTTGCACAGTTAAACTCTGGCTCTGAAAGGCGGCGGGCGATCTGCGATCCTTCAAGAAATCCTTGGCCTTGTATTAGAACCGGTAATTAAAATGAGGAAAAAAATGACTGAATTCTGTCTAAAATCGCAATAAAGAAGACACTTAGGAACATTTAGGTTCAGACTTTGTACTTTCTAAAAGCTGGGTTGGAATAAAAGTATCAAACAGGAAGCACCAAAACATAAATTATGCTCTGCTTCTGTTTCCTGTGTGAAATCTGCACACGTGTGCTAACACCTTTGGTATTTTGGAACACAAGCCGTGCATTCCTATTCATGCAGGTGCAAACACACACTCCCACACACACACAGCAAAACTGCCCCATCCAATGTTCCTCTGGCATCTGAGAAAAAAAATACTGCAAAATGTTGTTTTGGATCAAGTCGCTGCATGTAGCAAAGACACTGCTGATGATTAGGGAACATTAGTGAGCTGTAATAAAACACTGATGGTTTAGGATCTGATGATATGTGTGTGTGTCTGTCATCGAGCTGCTGGTTTGTTTAAATCAAAGGCCTGACATTCCTTGAAGCACTGCGTATCACCCCTAAATGTAACTTCTCACAAATTCAGCGTTTACGGTTTAAAATTCATCCAGGAACCAGCTGTTAATGAGAGCACGACACGCTGGTGAGATTAATGCCCAGCCTCAGCTGAAAGTTGTGTTTGGTGCCAATTTGCAAGTGTAGACATGCCTTATTATGTCACATCATCCCTAAGCCCAATCATTCCTAACAAACCAAAAGATTTTCATAAGAAATCCTTGAATAATGTTCGTTTTAATGACCTCCCAGTGAAGAGGGCACATTAAAAACCTGCTTTCTGTGAATCTGAGCAGCTCTCAGACTAAAGCAGAAGCTTCTCTGGAGACGGGAACGATACCAGGAAATCATTTAAATACTGAACATGTTCACCGGCTGCAAACTGGGGCTTTTTTATGCAAACAATTGTTTGTTTTTGTATAAGTATCTAAATGTTAGAGTCTAATTGACAGGAATGAGAATGTTCTGTGAAACATGTTCCAGCTCTGCGTGAATCAACGCAACACGTTTTGTTTATTAATGCCGGACATCATGATATAAATAATATAATTTAACAAATAAATAAAAAACAATCAGCCCCTGCTAACAAACAGTTCTCAGAAACCACGTCAACCGCAGGAAGGAAAAAGTGAACAAAGAGAGCAGCAGCACTTTACTGTAAATCACTGACTGGGAGTTATTTTTCAATTATCCTGAATTTCATTGTGGAGAGAGTCTGCAGCCGGCTCTCCTGCAGACGTGACRTCCCCGAGGAGAACTTTTCCACCCGGTTCTTCTCACGTGTGACGCACAAGCCGAGGCTTCTCTCTGCAGCAGCTGAACATCTGAAATGTGGAGCAAAGTTTGGTCAAATTCCACAATAAAATGTCCCACAAAGGACTGATATCAGTTATGTCGAGATTTCTTTTTATAGTTGCTATTTTGTGAAACTATATAATTCTACACACTTCAGTTACACTGTTTTTACATGTGAACACACTGTAAAAAATGAACTGTTGGATTTACTTAACCATGTTATGTTACCTGGTTCCACTTAACTGAGTTGAGTAAAATCAAAGCAATATACCAGTTTTCTAACCAATAAACATGAGTATGTTGCTTTGATATTACTCAACTCAGTTACTGTATTTGTTCAATTACAATACGTAAAATCTATTCCACAAAATCATCCATAAAGTTGGGGGGGTAGTACTATACTTGGATAAATATTTTTACTTATGTATTTTAACTGAAATATCGGCAAAATTATTGAGTCCAGAAATGAGGCCGCGTCGTAAAAAGCAGTTGAAACGAGCTTACCTCTGACACTCCTTCGTGCTTCAGAGCGAGATAATAACTGATCCAGGCAGGTGACATGATGTGAAAAAAAGGGGGAAAGCAGTCCTTCACCTTAGTAATGATAATAAACTAATGACATTAACGTGTGACCGAGCTGCTGCTGGAACAATAAACACATGTCCGTCTGTAATGCCGGTTGTCTACCGGTGTTCTGAAAAAGTTTGTATCCCTGAAAAAAAAGTTTGCGCTCCAGAGTAGGAAGTAATCTGCTTTTCCCCCAGAAGATGGTCCAAATCTCATGTGAAGTCTCTAACTTGTGTTGGCGCCTCCTGGTGGACTATGTGTAAAATGCCAGAATTCATATGATGCTGCTACAGCTGATATATATTTGTTGTCAAAATACCTTTTAGTACRTATGTTGTTAAAATAAAATGAACAGTCCAATGATCATTTTACTGATATGTATAAAGACTGCAAAGGCTGAAAAATCTTGAAGTCTGTATGAAATTGGAGGTAGTTTGAGGATTCAATTTGTTATGCGTTTTAAGCTCAAAAAGGGGGGTCGTATTATACATGAGATCGTATTATACACAAATAAATGCGGTAAGTGGAACCAGGTAACATAACATGGTTAAGTAAATGCAACATTTTCTTTTTAGAGTGCAGGTGACATTAAGTTATACAGTAACATCGTTAGTTTTTATTGCCAAGTTATTCTGCTTTTAAACCCCTCTTTTTCACATTTAAACCAGTTGGTCTATATAAAGTGGAACTGCAATGATTTGGTCGGAATTCCTCCTTATTGTAACTCCACAACCCCCCTCATTTGTTCACTCTTTGTCTGAGGTGTCACTCAGATCACTGTCCACTTGTAAAACTTTTCTAAAAAYAGATTTCTACGCCCTGGCTTTTGGCACAGCCTGAGACTTGTTTTTGTTTTATTCCTATTTTATGGTTTTTAATCTTTGTTTTGTGTTTTTCATGTTTTGGATTTTACATGTACAGCACTTTGTTGAAGATGTGGTTTTAAAGTGCTTATAAATGAAGTAGTAGTAGATCAACTCGCTTTGAGGCTGTCTCTTTAAGTCCAAATGAGGCACTTCACACCCCTAAATKTTTCTGCACGCCTAGAGACTCCAAGTCCACAACAATGTATTTAGCAGCTATAAAAGTGAATTTTGCATGATGTTCCCTTTAATAAACATTAACTATAAAATGAATACAGTATAATCATCTGATGCAAAAGGCAAGAGGTGATTGTTTCTACCTGTGTGTGTTTGTCTGTTAGCAAGAAAACTGAACTGGATGGAGTTTAATGAAACCCATAGTAATCTTTGGTTGGAACTCGTTAACCTTTYGTACACAATTCAGTTCAAGATGGCTGCTACAGTTTATCCACCCTAGCAAACAGAGGTGTCTTTAAATGAGCCACATTTAGGGTCAAATTTGGTGTGCTCGTATTGAGACTGATTTACACTTAAAACTCTGACAAAATAAGTGACTGCATTAAATCTTTAAAATAATCTAATAATAATAAAAGGGTTTTTTTGACTGACAAATGAGATTTATAATTAATGTTTATCTTCATGTTTCTCTACCTTAAGGTACATTATAACATTTCAGACAACTTGTGAAAACTTAGTTAAGACTATTTTACTCTTAATCAGCTCTATATTTGATCTAATTATTGTATTTACAGTCTCAAAAATAGGTTTGTTTTAACTCCATCTTCAGCTTAGATATCTTTTGTTGGAAAAACTTTTCATTAGTTGGTAGAAGTTGTCTAAAATGTTCTAGTGTAACAGGACCTTCAGCCGCCCTTTGTTTCAAAAACAAATGAATGCAATTAATTAATTATGTACTTTAATTAGGAAACTTTCTTTTTAAAGTTGAATTTCACTAACAAGCAGCTCTTCAGGGGACAGCACTGTTTTGTGTTGCTATGCTKCCCTCCTGTGGTCATAAAGAGAAACACAACCTGAGGCCCGCAGTCCTTCTGTTTACTCTTTATTGTTGTGCGCTGCACTTGTTCCTTATTTACATCTTTTAACAATAAACAGAACCTAAGAAAAAAATGTACACACTTTAATAATACTTGAACAGCAGACAGGCAAACACGTGACATAAAGTACTCAAACCTGACTCATACGCACCACGACTTTAAACAACAAACAGCCAATGACTACGTTATGAAGGTTAGCTTCTCAGACTGCAGTTTGAGTCGGGGGGCTCACAGGGGGTTAGTTCACATGTAGGTCCTCTGTAAATRGATATGAGCCACTTCACACTTCTCTTATATCCTTATATGTTTTTTTAAAAAAGAAAAAAATTCAAGTTTAGCAGTTTCAGCCTGAGACCCACTGTCTTTTCAGAGACCACAGACGCACGTTTCCTCCTGTTTTTGCAGTTTGTTGTGAACAAAATGAAACTTTACAGCACTCACTCTGACTTTCAGTCATCTAAGCTCAAAGTCCTGATTCAGTCGAAGGTTTCGGGGGATCAGAGCAATCAATCGAACTACTCAGTAGCGTGGAGACAGTTGGGAATTTAAAGCTTATAAACATGAAGGCAAAAAAAATTGGATGCATCTAATTACCATCACCCACCACCAAATTACAGTTTCATCAAAATATTACGAACAAACTTTCAGGGTATAATCATTMGATATACTTTTAGAGTCAAACCAGTTCAATCTGGCTGCTGCAGCAAATTAGCCAACATAAAAATGGCTCCRACTCAWTTAATTTTACAGATRACATGCTTAAATTTCATGTGATAGTAGCTGATTTTACTGCACATCTCTGGCATGAAAGACGGTGGGCAATTGTGTATTGCTTCAAGTAGCACTAGGCCTTTAACTGTTAAAGTATTGATGAGCAGAAAATAAAGGGATTACAGTTTAATCTAGTTTCTGTTGGTGAGTCTGTAGGATTATTGGCCTGTGAAAAACAAACAGTTTTTTTTTCCAGGAACATTTAGGTTTTTTTTGTATACTTATTAATGATGTCATCCCCAGATTTAAATTGTTTAACACAATAAAACAGTGTCAGGACTAAGCTTTCAAARCCTGGGATCAAACAGGAAACAGGCCGTCACACTGAGCAACAATCACAGCAGTCGCTAATAAAACAGCATCATATAACTTTAGATTTAAATTATTATTAGAAACAGTACTGGCAGCTCCCTTCAGCCATGTTTCCTGTGTTTTAGTGTTGATATGAAATGGTGCAAAGTCAGGAAAAAAAGGCTAAAAATGTTGATTTTTAAATAAATGCTTTAGTGCAGCGACAGAAACGTCTAAAAAAAACCAAAGGATTAAGGAGATTAAAAGCAAAAACAAGGTACAGATGCAGCAAATGATAGTTTTGTAAATATTTAGAGGTCAAAACTGATCCTTTCTGATTGTGTTGCTTAAGTTGAATGTGATGACAGATAGAATATGCATTTTATTTTGAAAATAAAACAGGAAGTAGACRAATAACTCATGCGACTGATTCAAAGCTGCACCAAATAATGTTTGTGCTTCCTCTGCAGAGTCACACCACTTCATGTGAGAATACACAGGCGAGGCMTGAAGCTGCATCATGTTAGAAGCTGAAATACATAATCCAGACTTCCCAGAAGACACAACAGGCTCCGATGGATTATTCACTGGGGACAGGACGTCATCATTTGGTTTCACCTCATTTTTAAAAATAAAAGTCAGAAAAAGAATTTAGATTTTTCTTCTTTTTTTATCTACAAACCAATGTTTTTATTCTAAATCTCATCATATTGATGAATCCCAGCCTGTCGTCACAGATTGTGTTAAAGTCAGCTGTTGCACTTTGCTTTCATGCTAATTAGACTTTCCCAACAYCAGATTAGATCAACTAAACAGCCTGTTTTCCTGTTGATTTTCACCTCAGTGTACAGTAACGTGATAATGTCATTTAATTGGTTGTTTTTAGGACCCTTTCAGCTGCCTGGAAAACTGGATTTGATTTAAAAGGAAGCCTCGCAGATCCATTCCCGGCGCTGAACAAACGGCGCGCCGAGCGGCTCAGACGTTGAATGCTTGTTGTGCCTCACAGATCAGTTCATCTCTGAACTGTTTTTGTCGAGCAGTTTTATGAAATATTTGCTCGTTGTGCTTCCTGGTGTGTTTTCTCTCTCTCTCTCTCTCTTATCTGCCGAGATCCTCTTCTCTTCCTCTCTGTCTCGTCTCATTGATGAGTCGTGGAGCTGATTCAGACTGAGGGACCACAGAGGGGACATCTGGACTCATGAGTTCTGTCCGGTGGTCCTGTGCCGCCGTCCGTAAGTGTTTGTGGCAAAAAGAGAAGCATGAGTCGAAGCTATAAAGGCAGATGTTATCGTATGCTGAACAGAGGAGGGAACACTGTCAGAGTTAGGGACATCCTAATGTCTCTTGTCTTTTTTTTTCTTTTTTTTTTTAATAAAGTGGTTTTTGTCCTTGACTTTCAAATTCTGACCAGGCGTCATTGAGTTCCATGAAAATCAGCTTGGCGTATTGTTCATATGGTTGTCCTGTTGCCTGTGAAAGAAGAAGACAAAATACCATCAGACGTGTTGAACTTTAGGTATATTTCTCTACTAAACACTGTTTTAACCTGGAGACTGACACTAAAAACACTAAAAACGTTCAATTGTGGTGTGGCAGTGGCTGAAAATCATCAACACAGATCTCATTATA